ATTTGCCGAAACCGCAGGATTTGCAGACATCTATACGCAAGACTATAGCGGATATTTTAAAGACATTAAAGATTATATATATCTAAACGGTGAAAAATACCGTCCCCAAGATATATCGCCTATCAATATTTTTAGCTTTGTTACACTCAAGAATGAAATTCTTGATTTTCTAGGATGGCCCTACTACATCTTAGAAAAATTGACTACTTTATACGCAATGTTTAACTTTATTGGATTTCTTTTTTCACTCTTAAAAGGAATCTATAACACATGTGCTATACACACACAAGTCAATAGACAAGCAAGTGTAGCACGCATACTATTTTTGCAGGATTTTTTGGAATTTTTTCTACATCAATAAACAAAATTCTTTTAGACGCACAAATAAAAGAATACAACACAAAAATAGCAACAAGACAGAACACATACGACGAAGAACATAACAATGTAGACACAACGCCAACAGCACCACAATTACCACCCCTACCACATAACCATCCATTATCCCTAGTCCCACGTAATTTTCGAAACTTAGCAATTACACATAATCCAAATTTTAGACCAACCATATCACAAAGTCCCATCCAACATATAATGACACACCACTCATAAGATGAAAATACCTATGAACAAATTATAGAACAACCCCATACCACCGCTTTTCAGTCTCAAAATAATAATTTTTTTAGCCCACGATGAGCCGACAACTTGGATCCCTACACCGTTCAAATTCCCATCCAACCAACCTCACTACTCCAATCACAATAATACCACTTTTTGCTTTCCCACCACCCGATTTCCCAACCAGTAATGTAACATCAGGCATGAATTCCGATACTAATTCACACATCTCAGTTTTATACTCCACATCACAACTCAATAACCCGAATATTGAAACCCCCGATGAATTTGCCGACTCTGAACCATCTCCATCCAATAGTTTTCACACAAACCCCTCAATTTTTTCCCAACCCCCTTTTCAACCAATGATACCAAATAACCCTGTCCCCGCCAATTCTACACCCTCTTATGCTTCCCAAGTCACTCCAACCTATTCTTCATATCATTCAGACCGATCATCCAATTCTCCAGATACCCCCCAAATCTCCCCAGAACTAGATAATTTTATTACATTACAACAACAACCCTACCACCTTGACACCCCCACCATAAACCAAATTTCATCCACAATAGATTCATCCAACCCTCCTACCCCTACACCCTCTTCAATTTATACCGAATCATTAGCACCATCATCCACATCTACTGAATCTTCACTCAGCACTAATAGAGCTTACCGCACTTTTAAAAGAAAGTTCCCCAACCATCCTTTCCCAGCAAAACCAGGAACAGCCCGTGAATATATAAATCACCCAAATCACACTAATACAAAAGAATTTTTAGCTATCACCTTACCCTCATTTCCACAATACACCTTAAACACCCCCACAACACTAACGAAACACGTAACTTTGTAGACGAACACGTTTTAATGCCTGCCCTTCCTTGGACCTCATATTATCATTTTACTAATCCCCTTTGCTTACCTTTATCTAACACTCACATCGATATAGAACGAAATAAGGACATGCTATATCGACTCACTACACCACTAACACCTAGACAATTTACTTACATAGGATATAAAAAATCACTAAAAACATACACTGCACCCCGAGCTAACGAATATACGCTAGAATATTACGATCATAACATCATCAGAACTAACCAAGATCAATTCTTAGACGACGACCGCTTCGCTAACCCACAAATCACAGAAAAATTTTTCATTAAAAAACCATATGTATTTACACTCAATACATTTGATCGCAAATTTGACCACATCATCTCAGAAGCACTAACAGACACGCAAGCCTACGAAAGTTTTAAAGAACGCTTCCAAATATTTTCACTAACCTTTCATTTCCTTGCACCACATGAAAGAGATCTGCACTGCTCACACGATATTATGTTGCGCACTAAACAAACTCACACATATACATATTATCGTTTTATCCAAAATCACTTCGACCTACACACTCCCTCCAGACAACCACACCACCGTTTTCAATTCATCAATTCCAAATACACCTCACCATTCTTTCTTAACTTCACATATTGCATTAAAGATACTAACCTTCATGGTATTCTTCGAAATTATGATCCCATAACCCAAATGTATATTTTTTGTCCCATCACCAAGACCTTCAACGCAGAAGAATCCCGACCCTTCCTTCTCCCACACGAATTTGTTCAACCCATAGAAATCCCCATTTTAGAATTCATCCACAACACTAAATTCAATCACAAATTATATAATCTAATCCAAAACACACCTTATGAGTTTGCAGTTGGCACTGAAGAACTAACCACCATTAAAGCACTTCAATTGCTTTGGCCACTGCTTCAAACTAAAAATATCATCCGCATCTTAGCTAAATTACTAACAACCTCAGATCTCATCCACGACATCTTCCCCCACGGTTTCTTCCCCGACGACTAACAGGTAAATATGAATTATACATATTATTAACTAATTAAATTAAAATTAGAAACTAACCATTCTTAATTCATGTCTTCTTTAGAATTTTAGCCTTCATCCAACGATCATCTGAAAAAATCACAAAAGAAAATAAAAATTGAAAACTTCTTCAAACTATTTAAAACTCTATTAATTTTTTGCACCAAACAAATCACTAAAAATAATACCAATGCAGTAATTTAATTTATAAATTTTTCCCAAATGCAGTAAAATCTAATAATGATGAAAATTTGTAACTTAATTTTCCCCAACAACTAGCAGTAAATTTGCATTTCTATGTAATAAATTGATAAAACGAAAATGCAGTACTAACCTTTTGATATTTCCTTTCATTCGCACAAAGATTCTATCCACACTCGCACAGCTCGCCCACGAAGAATTGTTTAAAATAATGAATTTCAGTTTCAAGCTTTCACACTCAACAACTCTAACACATGATAACAAGTTTTAAACTTTCCTTTAACCCGGTTGGAAAGGAATTATATACTAAACAACACTAACCAACGCAGCTTACTAAACACCACAAATCATAGAATAACAGCATGACTAAGAAAAGGAAACCAACGGTACCCAAACCGGATTAACCCAGTTTAAAACTGGATAATTTATTCTTTTGAAGACTATTATAAAGTCTAAGAAAGAAATAATAAAACACAAAAAAGTCGAAAGACAAACCCATACCAAAAACAATTTGATTTTTGAAAAAAGGACACAACCAACAAAACATAAGAAAAACCACAACAAACCCAACACAAAACGTTGTCACATAACAGGACCTCTCACAAAAACCGCATGCAATCATACTCCCACTCCTGGCCTAACCCACCAGAAGAGGACGTCCTGAGCATGCTCTATAGCCGGCCTAACCCACCGTGCTACATCCACGCTTTGTGACCACACTCCTATTTTTAATAAGAGCTACTCAAGGGTGAGTAACTCTTCAAAATAACTGAACTAAAACAAAAAGCTTTTGTGAAAACAACTAACCAAAATCATAACTAAAACATTAAACTAATAAAAATTTTATAAAATGTAAATTATATCTTGCAGTATATAGATCAGCATACAACACCAAAGACGAACATCCAAAGACAAAGTGACCCCACTACACTCGAAAAAGAATGGCCAACCACAATCAATATGCCGCCCACAATCACAACTCAAAGGATTTAGAGTACGACTTGACTTCGCAGAAAAGGACTTCATTGAACTAGAACAATGACCACCTCGATGTTCAAGTATACGTACAGATCCGAGTAACCAGGCATCCCCTCCACACACAATCTCCACGCCATTCCCAGACAAGGTCAAACACAAAAGAAGTTCTCTACATGAAACGGAAAAACCTGTCATAGCCAACCATTCTGAAATCAGATTTGAGTTTGTTGCGAAAACCCAGTCGTTGTCTTGAGAAGACACAACGATTGAATCTGGGACTTCTCTAATAAGAAAACCCAGAAGAAATAAGATGTTCGCCAAATACCAACGTCCATCATCCATCCTTTGAATTGCAGAAAGACTATTCTAAAAAACTCTGTAAAACCCGGATGGGTGGAACCTGATCTAAACTACATTTTATGATTGGATAAATTAGATATTTTACCACTGTAAAGTATTTAATATTAACCAATCATGATCCATCTAACTAACAACCCACTTATTTGTTAGTGCTGAAATTACTTGTCATTTCAGCACCAGAGAGATTTGAATTTAACTTAGAAATTAGTTGACTCTCCAAGAAGACTTCAGCAGCCGCAATAAACCAGTATACCCTAGATCTATTGAGCCTAGCAGAGACTAGTTAAACAACCTGAGACTAGATAGTATAAGAGTAAGATTAGGATCGGTATTAGACTAAGAAGTTGCACGAATCTATCCGGCCGAAAATAAGATAGCGTGACGAGCAGACGGTGTACCCTATCCGAAATTACTCTATGAGTTATACACTTCGGTCCTAACTCACATATAAGAAATTTCTCCACTTTGTCGATGTTTAACTATATCCCCCTTGGTTAAATATCAGTATTTAGACAACCGCGTATTCAGACTGGTCAGTATTTAGACAAATACTGTTTCAACCAATCAGAATCGCGACAAAGAAGAAATTAATAAATAATTATTATTTATTTTGGATTATTTATGTCTTTTCTCGATTCTGATTGGTTCATACAGTATTTGTCTAAATACTGACGAGTATGAATACGCGGCTGTCTAAATACTGGCTGCACTCCATCCCCCCTCGGGTACCTAGTAAAGAATATCCCCCATAAAGAAATAAATCAATTGGTTAGCATATCAAGAATTTATCCCTAGTAACGAATCTCCCTGGTAACTTTTGCAAAAGGGGGGATATGATATAAATAAAGAGATCCGATTGTTGACACGGGATTTGGCAATGGATTGAAGCGTAGAATAGAATGTAGTAGAACAAGTAGATTGCAAAACTTATCTTTTGCAGGAAAACAAGCGCCGGAAGATCCGTTCAAGCAGAATCCGGACGAGTCCAGTGATAAACCGGCGGAACCAGCCGGGGGGTCTAAAGGGGTGCAGTTGCCCACTCTCCCTTTCTTTCCAAACGAGACAGACGGCTCAAGTGGAGGCGAATCGGAGTCGGAATGGACTGATGATTAAAAAAAATGAAAGAAAAATTGAAAACTGAGAAGAGAAAAAACGGCCGGAATGATTATTTGGATAAAAAACTGACCTATATATTTAACTTAATCAAATCAGTTGTCATATCATTTTCCTTGTTTTTGATTAGGTGCTAATGATTGTTGTGAAGACACATATAGTGCGTATTGGCTTTTTCGAAGTTTTCAGATAAAAGTCTTTAAACGCTCTAACGTGCCTTAGTGCATTATAATGCATTATCAATGCTCTTGTGCATATTTGTTTTTTTGAGTTAATCTAATTTGATTAAAAAGAAGGCAAATTCCTCCCTTCAACTACGAAAGCAAAGTTAGCACCAAAAAATGAATTACTAGAAGTTCGAAAATTGATTTAAGTTTTCAGAATTGTGACAAAGATGTGATCCGTTGATCCAGTTTTCTCCATTTGGGTTCATATCAGCTAAAAATGTAAATCATTTCTCTCTAATTTTTCGTTGAAAGTCCTAGACTGAAACTTTACTGTTTCAGTTAGTTTGATTTAGATATTCTACGCAGAATTTTGCTGTGCGTCAATTGTAATTCGAAATGAACAAGCAAATTCTTCTGTCTTTTTTATATTATTCAATCTGATACTAGTCTTTGATGTGATTCCAAGGGTTATTCTGATATATTATTGAACTGAAATTTGCTAATTATGCAGCAGTAGAGTTTCAATTCGAGCAGTAAAGATTTTATAGGCTGACTATAGTTTATTTTTAAAATAGTATATTTATTTTTAAATACGAACATATTTACAAATAGAATTTTACGTGTTCAAAATGAATTTTTTTTTTACTTCGGTATGAAATTTATCTGCTGAAAGTTACGTAAATAGCACTTTCCAAATACGAACGTGGAGATGGCGCGTAAAAACGTGAACAATTTCTAGTTTCGAGTTTAATTATTAGATTACCAGCGGAATAAAAACTTCACATGATCCAGTTTTCTCAAGTTGGGTTAATGTTATCAAAAAAGCGCCAATCATAATTTCTATAGAAATTCAAAGAGATTAAAGGACGTCTATTTTTTTCTTTGAAGTTGATTAGAAATTCAGAGATTAAAGGGCGTCAATTTTTTTCAACAAAGTCTTTTTTTTCTGTTTACTTACGTTAACTGTCAGTCGGCTATGTTGAAAAAGTGCCAAGAATGATGATTGTTGAAATTCAAAAAACTCAATAAAGCCAAAATTATAAAGTTAGTGAGATCGTATTTTCTCCAATTTTACAAACTATCAATGCGCAATTTACAATATTTTAAATGGATAATTAATTGCTTATTTACATCTGATCACTTTTAAAGAATCGCACAGAAAGAATGCGTCTAACTAATTCAACAGAGTAAGAGTTGTTGTCTTTTTTTAAAGTGCTTTTTGCGGTGTTTTACAGTGTTTAAAGTTAGCCAATTTTAATTCAGTAGTGAATGAACGTAGTGAATACTCTTATATAGGTCTTGGTGATTTTTTTAAACTTTTTGTTCACGCTCAGTTTTGATTTTTCGTGGTTTGATTTTTGATTTCTTTTCAGTTCACTTCAAATTTTTTTGTTAAAAACTCCACTATCGAACAGTTAAAATGTAAAGGTTGCGAAAAAAGTGATCGTCTTTTAATTTCGAAAATGGAAACTAATGATCAGGTTTCCCATCGAAATTAAAGTCTTACCTATTAATCCAGTATGTTCAAAGTGCGTTAATTTTAACAAAAAGTGTCAATGATAATTTGTTCTACTAATTCAAAAAGCTTTAAGGCCATCTTTCTTCCCTTGAAATTCAACAGTTGAATGTTTTTTTTTAAAACGAGTCTTTAAAACGAGTTTTTTTTTTCAGTGTGCTTGCGTTCATTACTCTTTTCCAACTCAATTGGTTATGTTCTAAAAATTCTGATCAGGAGTTTCCTGGGGTTATTTGGTTGTTCTCAATAAGATTTCTTTAAATAGCAGTATATGATTTGATTCTGGCTTGCTAATTGATAGCAAAAATACTTCTTTTGGATTATTTCTGGTGTTCAAGCGATAAAAGCTATTGACTCCAAAACAGAAAATATAGTTTTGGGCGCAATTTTTTTGTTGTAACGGCTTAAAATAACAACTGAAACAATTTTTGAAGTGTTCAATAGCAATGAAAAACATCCATTTCATGAGAGCTCGTTTTTTCAATTTTTTTATCCTTATATTTGAACTTTAATTAAATCATTTTAATCGGACGGTTTTGAGCTACTTAGCCAGCAGCTGACTATTCTTAAATCATCAAAGTTTCATAGTTTTTATCACGAAAGCATCGTATAAATTGTTCCGGATGAGGCAAATTAAAAAAATTCAATATTGTAAATTAACACGAGATTCTATAAAAAAACCTTCTGAATTATAATTGAGCCAGTACAATTCATATTTCACAATTGTCTGAGACATTTTTAAAAGAAAATAGGCTTCTCAACCTCTATCTGGCATTGCTTGAAGAAAAAAATTTAATCCTTTTGACATTTGAAATTGTTATTGCGCCGTGTGGTTTCTTGAAGTATAGCAGTTTAAACAAGACTCAATTCTCCTTGTTTAATAATAAATAAGAATGTAAATGATATAGATAATGTAAGTTATATAGATAATGTCATGACAATTCTAGAGTTCAACCTAAATCTTTCATAAATTGAGACAGAGTGAGTGAGAGCACTTGATGTTGAATAGAGAAAGGATTGACAGGTCGGTAGCGACCTTGATAGTCAATAGGCGAGTTTAGCACGAATAACTAGTACAGAAAGTAATACAATAATGACGTCATAACAATACTGTTAAACTACGCCACACCACATTTCCCCCTCTTGGAAAAAATTCAAATGAACATTTGAATTTCTTTAAATTAAAATTGACTAAACATGCCCTCACAGCCATTTAACAAAACTTGTTGTAACCTATGAAACACTAATAGAAGTTTACAAAATTGACTGATATAACTGGAGGAAATATACTGAAAATGTTTTGAAAGATTGACGAGTTTGAATGAACGGAGAGTTTTATTTGTCTGAACGACGCAAAGGATGATCGGAAGCGCTCTTTTTTGGAAAGCGCGTAAATTTTCTACATAAACCTTCGGATTCATCGGGTAGAACAACCCGAGACTGCCCCGCTTGAACCACTAGCTCTTGATTAGCCACGACAAAACGAACTTTCTTGTCCGGCAAAACAGGAGTTGACGGGGAGGTAGACGTCGATTGAGCTTGAATGACATTCACGGAATGTCTGATTGGACTGCCGTAAAAAGTTGTCTGCTTTTTCCGGCGCGAGGAGGTTCGAGAAGAGTTTCATGATGACGAAATATTTCCATCCGGTTCGGAAATTACGCCAGAACCATCCCGGGTGTGGATACCCGATGCTGCCAAACTTGACGATGTGCACTCTTGTAGCTTCGGGACCAATGACTCATCGTCCGAAGAAATGGGAATGAGATCTGGACATAATAGAGTTTTGACTGTAATTGGTGATTTCGGCTTGACACTGATGGGAACCTCCGTTCCTTGGTTTCCAGAAGTGGACGAAGAAGCCGTTAAATCTACTACTGGAGTAGAGTGTTGGGGATAAGGAATAATCTGAACTCCTGGAGCCTCCGATACTGAAGTTTGCTTTGAATTGGTCGAGACAATTTGATCACGAGATGGTGTAGATGAAGTATGCAGAGACGGGAATTTCGGGCGAGCATGTACGACCACAGTTTTGGCCGAGATTCGTTGGCGTGAACTAGATTGTTTGAGAGGCCGATTGTCCTCTGACGATGAGGGCGAAGATGACACAATGGGGCGTTTTTGCCCCTTCTTGACAGGCGTTGTTTGCTTGCCTGAAAAACTTAGATCGGTTGATTTAACACGTACCGCCAGGTGATTTCTTCTAATCACTTTTCCCTTGTCAGAAATATATGTGGGCCCAGTAATCTGCACAATTTTGCCCTTAAAAGGTTTGAAAAGTTCTCGACCAGACTTCCTATTTAGAAATTTCCTAAATATTTCGACCTTATTTGGTACATTCAACACTAAGTAATCCAAGTTACGTTTTGATATTGACGGACTAATTTAATCCGTTGTCATCTCGTTCCTAAACCTAAGTGTCCCAGCAGACAAGTTGGAGCGAAGGGTGGCTGCGAGAACTTGGTTTCGTTCAGTCAGCGTCTTCCGAGCTTTGACCCCCTCCTGATGCGACAAGGACTTCTTCAAAGTCAGCCACTGATTAGCGGATTGAGCCAGACTCTCAAGCGCGCGATAGTGAGGTGTATCCGCAACTGACTCCGTAGGTCCCCCAAAGTAGGGTGACACCGTCGGGCTTGACTGCCCCTTCTTGACTAATTTTATCCTTGGTCGGCTGTCGCACTGCTCCCGACGCTGTTCAGGTGTTAGTAGATCCCGTTCCAAATGTTGGTTATCTAAATTCACGCCCGTAGACAAACGCTCAGCCGCAATAGATAGCTCCGTATTCGGAGGACGGCCAAAATGAAGCTCAAAAGGTGAAACCCCAGTAACAGAATTTTTTATAATCTGAATATCTTCAATAATATTTCTAAGTGTAACTTGAACATTTGAAAAATCCGAGCTCAAACGCGAAGCGCCCAAACGACGCTTTTAATAGTTTGGATCGACCGTTCCACTAGACCGCAACCACAATGATTCCCCACCGGGCAGAAATATTGGGCGATATTTTTATCTTTACAAAAGGCCTGCACTAATTTGTTCTTAAAACCTGAATATTGGTCAGTTTTGATAGATTTGGGAATACTATGCTGTTGAATATACGATTTAAGAAATTTAATAATCTTCCGTCCCCCCGTAGAACGTGTAATCATAGCCGACGGATATTTAGAGTAACGGTCAATCGCGACCAAGATATAAATACTGTTACCATATTCATCGAGTAGAGGACCCGCATAATCAAGCTGAAGCTCTTCATTAGGACCAGACAAAAGGGTTAAAGGCTTGGTAGAATTAAATGAAGCGTTCGCTTTCAATTTCTTACCAAACTTCGTGCACTGGGGACAATCTTTACATAGCTGGACAATATCTCGATGCATTCGAGGCCACCATATGTATTGCGCGGCATCAACCATGGCTAACTGACCCGCATGCGACCTATGTAGTCGAGACAGTAACGGTTTTCTTAGACACATGGGAATAGCGATCCTATTGTCCACTACAACACAGCCATCAACCACCGCTGCACAATGCCAAAATGATTTTATATATGGGTCAATAAGACAAAATCCTTCATAGTCCCGGTTAATAAGTGCCCGTTTCATCAAGCATAGACTGGAATCTTCGTCTGTAAGTTCCGACAGTACATCGGAATCCAGAATGCCCACCAACCCGGTTAACGATTTCTGGTCCTGAGCGACCACTGATGACTTCAAAATTTCTAGACTTTGAACTGACTGAGTTTGACGAATGGTTAATTTGGTTTTCCTGAGCCTTTTTGATCTGAAATTGGCCAATATTCGGGCATATTGACCCCGCAACTCCGCACCACGTTGTAAAGTTGTCGACCGCCTTGGACGTACTGCCCCCGCGCGAAACCGCGGCCGGGCACGATCCGAGGAAAACCAATGTTGGTTGGTCGGGAGAAACTGGTTGAGTAGTTGCTCAAAGCTGTCGTTTGCATTATTTGCGTTAAGATACATCACAGTCTGAAAATGAAAAGCGCCCAATAATACGAGTACACAACAACAATACCAATAAACTGAAACAAGATCAAAAAGACCCACGGACGATGATAATAACACTCAATTACTAACGACTGTACTGATAATCCACACTGAAAT